AAACCCTGTCTCCAAAATCCAAAAAACAACCCTAAGGTAAGCAGTTAGCCCAAATATTACTGATAATAACATGGGAAGATCACATGTACCCAGAAATTAGCACAGAAACTACAACAAGTATGCTATAACTGGTCTAATCTATTTTTTATTTTTGTGTGCACATGCACATATGTGTTCATGCGAATGTGTGTGGGGAGTGGATATGAAGACCAGAAGTGTCTTATTCACTTGTCCACCTTAGATTTTGGAACAGGGCCTTTTATTTGCTGGCCATTAGGCTCTAGGGATCCTCTCCAGTGTGGATTAACAGGTGTTTGTTGCTTCCACCCCCAAATGTGCATGCCGGGAGTCAAACCTCAAGCGTGTGCAGCAAGCACTTTCTTCACTGCGTAGTTCCCTTGCTCATCCTCGGGTTTGTTTGGTTTTGTTTTTCCTTCTTTTTCAGTGCTAAGGCTTGTGGTCAAGGCCTCACATACTCTAGATACAAACTTACTATGACTAAGCCACATTCCCCCAGCCTCTGGAAGTTGCTATGTAGACCAGGCTGGCCTCAACCTCAGAGAGAACCACCTGTCTCTGCCTCCCAAGTGCTGCGATTAAAGATGTGTGCCACCACGCCAGACACAGCATACATTCGTAAGTAACTATGGACAGTGACAGCCATATTGCCTGCACACATATTTTAATATACTGAGGATATCACCATTTATGGTCCCAATACCACAGAATTAAAAAGCTGGAAAAAAAGGTAGCATCTTTCAAATCTTTTACTGATTATAATAATGAATATTCAAATTTGCTATCTTTTAAAGGATAATAAACTAATTATTTCCATCTGTTAAAATTTATTTTTCAAATATAGCAAATATTTTAGAAGTAGCCAACTAAAGTCCAAACACAGAAGTTAATATTTGATAATCCACAGCATTTAAGTTCTTTTTATCAATTACAGTTTAAAAGTCAGCCATACACACCTCTCCCACTACTCCAAATTTAAAAAATAAATAAAAATTTCATCAAATATTTCTTCCCAAAGGGCTTGTAAACTCATGCACACATGAGTCTACAAACACTGAAGAAGTATAAACCTAAAATTTTAAACTGTTGAGGAATACAAAGAAAAAAGTAACAAGAGAAAGAGGTTGTGTTTGTTCTAGTTCAATAATTTTAGGGTGTATTAAATTTTCTCTTAGTCTGAGCAAGTCCAATGACAAGCTTTTCCTAACAAATTTTTGTTATAAAGTTCAAGATTTTGTAAAATAGTTTAGTAAGTTAATTTACATAATTTTGTGCTACTTGAAGATGTGGTCCTCTTAAAATATGGGGAGAAATATAAATAAATAGTAAATACCTTCTTAAGTGATCTAAAATTTCACCCTGAAAATAATTACCATGACCCCTGAAAGTAGGATGGGTGATTTAGGTTGAGTAATTTAAGCAATGAAGGTAGTAAACGAAGGAACAAAATCATGTAGCCTGGTAAATAGCTAAACAATTTTTCATTGCCAATTTGAAGTCTATCAATGTGCAGAAAACAGGTATCAATATATATCAGGTGTTCTAGTTGAAGTAAAGAAAAACTAAGAAGAAATGTTTAGGAATTAATGAAATAATATTGCAAAGAATAAGGTTAAGATTTATGGTTAAAACTGTGGCAAGTAGATAATTGTCTAAGAGAAGATGAAAACATTTTCTCTTTTTTGGTTAGGAAGCAGTATTTTCAGAATGTTTCCATTTCTAAAACACCTTCTTCACATGATCTCGTCTTCTGATTTCAGAGTTAGGTGGTATTGCTTATGGTTCTGGCTTAAACCTCTCTTACCCCACTCTCTTCCTTAGAATTCTGGCCTGTTCTAAAGTTTGAACTCTAAATACAGAGAAAAAAATTCTTCAGTATCTTACTTCTTTACCCAGTTGCATACCTGCATATTTCAAACAGTCTGTCAACTAAGCCATAAAACAGCTGAAACGATAAACCTCATCATCTATTCAAACTAATTCTTTTACTAACACATTCTGTAATATGAACATTCCCTCAATCAACTGGGTTTTCAACACTTTGGAGTTGCTTGAGGAATTCCTTATAGTTCACAAGCTGTAAAATCTTACTAATCCCTACTTTTTGATAATCATACTTTTTCTTTGTTCAATCAAGTTTTTCTTCAAATCCAACTATTCTTCTTATATTTATCCATACATATATGTAAGCCCTATATTTTCACAATGATCCACAGTACCATTCCTCTAAATGGACTGCTTCTTTTCCTCAGTTTTCTAGCTCTGCAATACCAAACTCACCACTTTCAACTAAGAAGCTGCCTTCTGAAACAGCTTTGAGCAATCACTCCAGCTTTCCTTATGAAGTGCAAAGTGCTTGGATATTATAAAGGGCTATCATTTTCAATTATGTGATAATGATTCTCTTTATCTTTCCCCAAAGTAAGACCAAGCTCATTAGAAGTTGAATCTTACAACCTTGCTTTTCCTGATATAATAGAAATCAATGAATTTGTGTCAACTAATGGCATCTAATCACTTTCCTTCTAATCTACATTTAAATATTGCTGTTGCCATGACAAGCTAACTCAAGGATATCATGCATCCCTTGTAATTGCTTATCACTTATTGACTAAATTTAACTGATTTCCTCATGAAGACAAAACACTCCAAGTTTATTCATAAAACAAAATTCTTATAAGCAGTCTAGTTTCCTCCCTTTAGTCTTCTCTCTAGTGCTTCCTTATCTTACTGGCAGGACATTTAAGAGATAGTAAAACTGCTGTAATTCTTACATTAAGCTCTCACAGACAAAAACAAAACAAAACAAAAAAACCTCTTAATGATGTTTGATTTCCAGTGATTACTGAGACAGGTTTCTAAACTAATTCTGTAGACTTAAGAAAACTAAGAACAAACACAATTTTTAAAAGGTAGTCAAAATTTAGCATCACTAAATGTTAGTAAGGATACCACAAAAAATTGGCTTTACAATAATATAACTTCTCAGAAAGTTACTTACATAAGATATATTATTTATTAAAAGAACTTAAGAAGGAAGGGGCTGGATTATCTTTGAGCTATCAGCATCCCTCTCCTCACATTTGTAATTACTTCCACTGACTATTTTCCCGAGGACCCTGCAAGTGACAAAGGAGGAACACAAAACTATGATGGTACCTAAAAGGCTTGAGTCAGGAGAACACTGGATACCCCAGAAAAGATTATCTGAATATAGACAAAGGCATTCCGGCTATTGGAAAAAAAAAAAAAAACCTCTCAAATTATTAATTCTAGCTTAAATAAAGGAAAAACAAAGGACAACTGGCAAGCTAACGAGGAATAGCATATAAGTCATTCATAATTTGAGTGTAAAGATATTTGATACATTGAAAATATCCTAGCAGAAGAAAAAGGTTTCAGTCCTTAAAACTGGATACAAGCATGGCCCTTCAGATACTCAGGCATGATTAACGAAAGCTAGCTTTAACAGCTACTCCCAGGACTGAAAGTTAAGAGTGATTCCAACTATTCCAGAGGACCCAAGTTTGGTTCCTAGCACCCAGGTAACCGGATGGCTCACAACCACCTGCTACTCCAGCTACAGGTTTGATGCCCTTTTCTGGCCTCCACAGGTACCTACCCTGTAAGTAGTATACTCCGCAATAAAAATAAGTCTTAAAAAGTCTACCCCTGCTGATGGGCAAATTTATGCTTCAAAATATATAGATAACATAGACATCAATCATAAAGAGGCGGGACAGGATTTGTGGCCCCCTAAACCAGTGGTTCTCAACCTGTACAATGCAACCCCTTTGGGGTTGTATGTCAGATATTTACTTTCTGATTCATAACAGTAGCAAAACTATAGTTCTGAAGTAGCGACAAAGTTAACTATGGTTGGGGGATTAAAACAGCATCTGTTTCATAATATAATCTTACTTACGTATTTCTTTATAATACCTTATATTGTTAGAGCAAAACTAATTAAAACTTGATTATAAACACAGCATTACAAAATTTAAAATTTCCTGTTCAAAAGCTGTTTAAAATGATTTTTGCTTAAGGAACAAACCATCTAAAAGATATAAAGTATTAGAAAATATCTTCAGAGTTATACAAACAAACAAATCAAGCCTAAAAATTAAAAGTTTTACTATCAAGGCAATGCAGACCATGTCTTAATATGACATGTACATGCACTTAGCAACTCTCTATGCTAATGGAAGAGGTATAGTTGAGTCTATGCGTGTTATCCAAAAATATGCCAGATGATACAAATGTGTTGCCAGGCAGAGTTAAAAGAATCTAACAAGCTTTGTAGGAATTTAAAAAACACTGTGCTCAACTCCTATTAATTAAACACAGAATGATGGGTTGCTAATAAATATTCAGCCAAATAACTGAACAAAGCATATACTATTTAAAAATGTGTGTTAAACAGAAAGATAAACCAAAGTATCTTTTGTCAAAAGTGAGGTCAAGGAGTTATGTTTTTTCTTTTTAAGCGAAAAATAAGACCTAAACAGTATCTGAAAAAGCAACCTGTTTGGGGGCCTTAAAATTATATAGATACATGGAATTCTAGCAAGTAAATATGGTGACAATTTTTTGTTAAAATTAATGACAATTTTGTTATTCAGGTCTTGTCCCTTGTCCAGTTTTTTGAAATGGCATTTGTTTTGTTATAAATCCTACAAAACAACACAAAAATTAAGACTGATTAATAGAAAAACGTTTTGTATTAAAATATATACATATATTAAGCAAGTGACTATTTCAAAGCAATATGTAAATCCTTAAAAAATAGCTAAAACATGCACAGAATGCAGTAAAAAGCACATTTATACTCTATAGAAAATACCTCTTTTTTGGTTTATTTTGCTGCTTTGTCCCATGCTAGATACCATGTGATTTCCCCCTTTAACAAAAAAATCAGTTTTATGCAAAGCAATTCATGCATACACTTTTCTATGTATGCATTCCATATCAAGTAATCATACCTATCCCAGAGGCTCTTTGATTCCTGAAACGTGTTCAAATGGAACGCTTGGTAGAAAGCAGTTGAAGGATTCCTGTGAGATCCAAGAATCAAATGGAAATGAAGTTGAGAATGTACAGTATATTCAGTACAAAAAAAAAATGGAAGATTTTAGATTCTCATACAGTGTAACCACTTAAATTTGAAAAAGGAAAAAGAAAGCGTTGAGATTGTTTAAAACAATACTTTGGGAAATTATAAAGCACACAAAATTCAAAACCTATAATAACTCGGGATCAAAGTTCTAAAAGAAAGAATAAATAACTGATAAAGCTATATACTAGCATTCAATTGTGTGCACATATGCACAAATGTAACCAGTTCAGAGCCTATCAACACCACGTTGTATCAGACGCCTTAATCATCGATGGTTCTGGCTGTTCTCCAGTAGCAAATCCTCATACAACACTAAGCTATAGCTTTCTGGGACTTGTTAAAAGTGAGAAGGGTTAATAATGACTAGTGAAGAGTCCTTCCTTGGGTGGACAGATACATTTCCACTTTAAGTTTATGTGTGTGGCCAGGTGGTGGTGGCGCAAGGCTTTAGCCCCAGCACTCAGGAGGCAGAGGCAGGCGGATCTCTGTGAGTTCAAGACCAGCCTGGTCTACAGAGCGAGTTCCAGGACAGCCTCCAAAACAATACAGAGAAACCCTGTCTCGAAAAAACAAAAAACAAAACAAAAGTTTATTTGTGTGTAGTTTCTCTGGTCTTGTGTGTGTGTGTGTGTGGGGGGGGGGGGGAGACAATGCAACTGTATGATTGTATGGAAGCATTCTAATGTCATGAGTATAATGCCCCCCCTTTAAAGGGGAAAAACCTATTAACTGTATCACCCATTCCTATTATCCCCAGGGACACAATCCCTAGGGCCAACACAACAGAACTGCAGGTAACCTGATGAGCTCATGTAGGCCAACTCCAGTATGTCAGGAATAATTTCTCATGGAGCTAAGCTTTCAACTAGCCTGGTTCCTAACAGTTTTCACTCATTAAGCATAATTCTAAAGCCTTCCTTACCATCCACCTGTACTTTAGAGGAGTTAACGTATCACTTTAAAAATTCTTGACTCAGGGCTATAGAAGATGGCTCAGTGATTGAGAGCACATCTGCTCTTGCTGAGGACCCAAGTTTAGTTCCTAGTGCCACCCACTCATAACTTCCTAGGAACCCAACTCCACAAAATCTGATGACAGATCAATCATTCATTCACTCAATCAACCTTTCTTCTCTGGGCCACAAGGAAAAACACAACAACCAAATCTTTGATTCATGCTACAGCATAAGAATACTCGATGTTATTCAAACTGTTTTACATTTGACTCAATCTCCATCACAGTCCTATCTAAAAGGGATAAGGGATAACTTCCCAATGTCAGAGTAGGTGGCCTAATTTTAAACCACTATATTAAACATACCAGAGTTAAAACCCGACTGCTCTAGATATCTTTTCCTTTAAATAAGTTATTAAATAGTTAAACATTATGATTAAATAATACAATAGTTTTATTTACCCTTGTCCAATAGTTGAAAACCTGTGACCATATCTAACCCTTCTGGGTACAGTCAATGCTTACTGCTATTATGTATGGTATTAAGCAATAATTTTCAGATGCTTTTCCAAAACCATAGTAGGTGCCTTAAGAAAGGCTGCTGAATTACAGAGCAGTAAGAAAACTGTTTCTGGGGCTGGAGAGATAAATGGCTTAGCAGTTAAGAACACTTCTTGAGGTGGTGGTGGTGTGCGCCTTCATCCCAGCACTTGGGCTAGAGGCAGGTGGATCTCTGTGGATTCAAGGACAGCCTGGTCTACAAAGTGAGTTCCAGGATAGTCAGAGTTACACAGAGAAACCCTCTTTCAAAAAAACAAAAGCAAAAAAGGAAGGAAGGAAGAAAAGAAGGAAGACTTCTTGCTCCTCAGATTCAGAACACTCAAACTCAGTTCCTAGCACAGAAAGCAGATACCAACTCACTGTAACCCCAGCTCCAGGAGATTCAACGCCCTCTTGTGATCTCCACCAGCACTGGCAGACACACAGCACATACATTCACACAAATATATGTATATACATATAAGTGAAAAAAAACCTTAGAAACTATTTATAAAGCTGACTGCATTGGCAATCAAATACCAACAACCATCAAATTACAAACACTAGAATCATGACTTCCAAAACTGAATTAAGCCAAGCTTGAGTTGTATGCACCACCAATTTTTATACAGCACTTTAGATTTTAACCTGTAGATACCACTTTGACAAACTAGGAACGTCTCAGACTGGGTAACAGGGAATAACCAATGTAGCTGTTGGATTAATTAAGATTTTTAACAATGTATAGTTTTTACCACTTTCCTTACTCTATTTCCTTTCTATCCTTTGAACCCTTTTCACTTAACTAGGTCTAAGGCAATCAAGAGCACAGATTAGATCTGCCAACAGCAAAGTTTAAGAGGGTTCTAACACCTAATTTTTTTTTAGACTACCTTTTTTTCACTGTACTTCAAAAATCAAGTCAGCCAAGTAAGATAAAAGGCAAATGAATTGAAAACATAATTTGGCTCCTCCCACCACCAACTAAATCAGGTCTGCCCAGGACCATATGAGAATTGGATTGCTATTCCTTATGTTGCTTAGAAACTTCAACGACTCAAAGAAACCAGAAGAAGGAGACTAGTAGAGTAAACTTTGAAGTTAGTACCCAGTTTAGAATCACAAAGTTTTTATAAAGAGCATTTTAAATTTAATATTTTCAGAGGGCTGACATTTTAAAAAAGAACTTCATGTATTTTGGCTTTGGAAATACCTATATTTAATTTAAAGCAAATTTACCTGCTAAGCAAAATGACTTCAAATAAAGTCTTATGTTACAAAATGCCACCATTTTTTCAATGTAATGATACAATGTTTCTTATAAATCAAATACAAAATAAAAAATTATCTACCATTAACAGTAAACCTTAGGGTATGAAAAGGAAAGATAAATTTTATTCAGTGGTTTTGAAAAATGTCTACAAACAAGAAAACAGCATTTTCATTTAGACTGCAATAAATTCAATATAAACTACATCTTGTTCTTCTAAGAACTGCTTTACTTAGAGTAGTAGTTTATATTCACTTCAAATAAGTTAGGAAACTGGTTTCAAATGTAATTTCTTGCAGAAGAGAATATATGGTCAAAATGCACAAAAGTTTACTACTATGTCAGTTACAACTTTGTGCTATCAAGTTTCATTTGGCTTTGAAATGATTTATTACAGAGCTTTCTATGGGACCTTAGTACCCTCAGTTTTTATGTAATTCTAAGTTAATTGTGCCCACTGATATTTACAAGTGGCTTTTTCTGTCTCTATTCTCTGTCTTTATATACCAGTTTGTCACAATTTCCCAGTACATGAAGACAGTCTACCAGAAAGTGACAAACACACATAGCACAGATCCACATGCTTTACCAGACATTACTTGTAGGGTAACTGGAGTAGGAGAAGAAACACACACACACACACACCCTACATCTCAGAATAAATCTAAGACGTGGTGAGTTAAAGGGAAATGTATGAAGTCTCAACTCAACAAAGCCTCTTTCCTACAGGTCAAAATCCAACTTTTAGGATTTAAATAGGAATCAGACCAAAAAACAAACAAACAAAAAAACCAAGGGTTATTCCAATTTTTTTTTTTTTTTTTTTTTGAGACAGGGTTTCTCTGTATTGTTTTAGAAGCTGTCCTGGAACTCGCTCTGTAGACCAGGCTGATCCTGAACTCAGAGATCCGATGCCTCTGCCTCCTGAGTGCTGGGATTAAAGGCATGCGCCACCAACGCCTGGCTAGTAGAGAATCTTAACATGCATCAAGTATCTCATTGCCATAACGGTAATGTTGAAGCAAAGGGAATACCTGAATTTAGAGCTAGGTGTATGACTCCACTTAGTACATTCTACCAAAAAAAAAAAAAAAAAAAATTCTGACTTTTGGGCTTCAGTGCAACCCCCCATTCAAAACACATTATTACACTTGAATGTATAATACGATAATTACTGAGATGAATATTGAAGGAAGCTGTAGGAGGAACACTACTTTAGCAATATAAACGTCAAGAAATGCTTTTTAAGTAGCAACTATAATTTAATGTAAGAACCTAAATTTATTGTGGTATTAAGCCCTTCTTCACTGTCTCCTGTAAAGTTAATCAAATAATTTCCCAAATACAACAGTATCCCTCTTCCATTTCATTCACATTCACAAGCTGTCACTTCTTTGAGCTCAGCAAGTCATTTTTCTTACCAGTGATCTAATGTGAATTTATCCCGGTTTGGACACTTTAAGTTATGAACTGCATACATATAAGCATATGCAAAGACAGTGCCAGAAGAGAAGTCAGACTACATTAAGAGATCAAGTTTCTTAAATGTTCCCTATTAGCGCTTACTATTTATTCCATCAAAACCTAATACATACACCAAATAGAATCTAATCATATAGACTACCACCTTGGAAGAGAATTTCATTTCTGTAAAGCTTACTACTTGGAGAACACTAAACAACTGAATGACTGGTGTGTTGTTCCTTTAGCTGTTTACTTTGCATTCAATTACTTCTTGAGTATTTGAGTATTTAAAGAAGTAAGCTTCATTTTCTCTCTTCCAATCAACCAATCATACAATGGTAGTGGCCAAAAAAGGGTTGAGTGATCATGACAAAGGTTCTACCCAATGTCATTTAAAAGTATGGGTTCAATAGGACTAGATAGAACCTTAAAATATGACCGAGTCCCAAATTCTAACTTTGCCAACGGGGGGGGGGGCGCTGAGGGGAACTAAATGATTTGATCAGTTAAATCAGCAGAGTAGTTGAAACAATCAAGTTTGGAACAGGTATTCTCCTTTTCCATGGGCACAAGCAGGCACACAAATGCAGCAAAACACCCACCCATATCAGTCTTAATGCCTGCACACCAAAACTCAAGACTCTTGGTAAGATTTGTGCATTTCAAGGGATAATCTGCAGGAGTTTGGAGCTGGAAATATTGACTCCAA